CCACTTAAAGCTACACAAATACCACAGACTTACTACTCAAAGCTAAACAGAGATCTGGGTGCTCAAATTGGCAGACTCTTCGTGTCTGGTGTATAAATAAATATACTTTGTTTGAATTAAATATATTTGTGGAGCTGGTCGAAAAGTCTGTCTAGCGTAAAAGAGAAAAGGAAAACGAAACGAAAGCATGAAAAGCAGGAAAAGTGTTTCCTGGGCGGAAGGAAATACGGATATGTGGTACAAGTAAAATGCACCTCACTTTCCGCTCAGCATTCTCCCATTTCTTTTTGTATCTTCTGCAGAGCAAAAAATAAGATTTCATGTTTATTAATAATCACAAATATTTTTAGTATTTCGAAGTGTTCTTTGAAGAGTTTCTTTCTGTGCTAATCCTGTGCAGGATTTGATGCATTTTTTCTTTGGTCTTTTGGCTAAATGTCAGATGTCTGGTCTGGAAAAAGAAAGAAGTCCCAAAATGAAAACGAAACGCTGAGTGAGCGTGCCAAATGCAATTATCCGACGTCTGCCATCCAAAATGCCAGAACCTCTGGGATTACGACCCCAAAAAAGCATCTGCTTTCCCGCTGGGCGCGGGTGGGGGTGGGGGATTGTCTGTTTCTGGTCGAGCACCACACCCTATGGCCTTTAACCTCACCTTGCTGCTGCCCATCCTCTGTGGACGGATGTGCGTTAAAAGTCACGATTAAGCGCCGCATCAACCCACCGAATGAAATACGCATTTCCACATCCCCATGATGAGTTGTTGACTCTTCAGCATTTCTAGTTTTCTGGTCTCGGCTTTTTGGGTTGGGAATTCTCCCCCTATCTCTCAATCGAGGGTGGATGTTGGCCTGGGCTTGGCTTTCGGGGCATAAACTGCATGAAATTAAGTAATTAACTGGCTGAACTTCACTCCACAGGTCACCAAATGCGGTGCAAAAGGTCACATCAGTATGCCATCAGCCATGATGAATGTGCGCTGATTTATCAAGTGAAATAATGAACCTAAATATTGGGAACTTATGGGGGAGGTCACAAATCGAAATACCAATTGACGGCTATATTACACATTTTCATTAGGCCAATTATCTTGTAACAATGCTTTTGACACAAATAATATTTTATAATGATTTCGTAGACATTGAAAACCGCAAGAGACATGTATATAGGTGCACCAAAAAGCTTTTCACATCTCCATTACTTTGGTTCCCGCCCAAAAGTTGTCTCAAAATCGAGGCATATAATTAGTGATTTGATCACAGCTGTTAGGTAGCGAATGATTGCCGCGAAATGAGTGTTATATATGCTATATATATGTACATATGTCTCACTTGAACCCAAGCGGACATAAACGAGTTTGCCCCCGAGAGAGCTTTGTTGGCCCCTTTGGCTTAGGGTTTCCTATTCCCGACTCCCGACTCCCGATTCCTGATTTCCGATTCTTAGTTCCTCTTAGTTGGCACTTCTTGTCGGACATGACATAGGAAAACAATAGACGACGGTCTGGTCTCTACACAATGGACCACGTCTATATAGATATACTCGTACATGCATAGGTGGAACAAAAGGGGCCAGGGGCCAGGAGTGACCAACGGTCGAGGAAAGTTCCCAGCGAGCAAATGAAATTAAACAAATAAATAAATGGACGCGAGAGATCGCGAGAAAAATGCAAATGAGCTTGGTCCGGCAAAGGGACATTAAGTAGCCGGTAGCTGACCATTGTCCAGTTTTAGGACCAGCAAGGGGTTGTTGGTCGTGGGTCTGTGGGTCTTTGGTCTTTGGTCTCATTTCGGAGGTCGTCTTAAGGTGGGACACTGCACTTTTCTTTGCATCCCTAGCAGAATTCCAGTTTCCGTTTTGCTCCCATTGTAATGAGTTCGCGCTCGTTACTCAACCCGTGTTCCCCTAAAGATCTCTCACCCTTCCGATGATCCTGCTCCTGAACCCGACCCTTCCCCTTGTCCCCTTTGCCCTTGTGAAATTGCAGTTGGTCAGCAGCAGTCATCATCAGCAGTCGCCTCAATTTACGGGCCCTCGGGCCCAGAAAAAACGGCGACCTCATTTGAATATTAGTTGGGTTGGTCCTTCTTGGTCAATGATCTTGATTTGGGCCGGACCTCTGTGAAATTGCCATCGCCAAGACATGTACATATAGATTCTCACATCCTTATGCATTACACGCTTGACCAGACGATCCTCCCTCCTTCCATTTTTGCTCATTCCCTAGCCCCTTTGAACTCATATTTCATTTGGCTGACCAGTCCACCGAGTCCACCGAGATCTTGGTCATCCCGTTTTCGGAGCGGTCAACATGCGTATTACAATTTGATCCGGAATCCCTTGATTAGGAATTTGTTTTATGACGCAGTCACTTTTTTATTTCTCCTTATTGCTTCTGGCTTTTGGCGACCCTTGCTCCTTGGCCGTTAAAATGATAATTTATGGATCCGCAGCCGCACTTTTTCTGGGTTAATGAGAGTTTGATCTAGCGGCGATTTATCTCTGGTTATTTTTGAGGGCAAGCCAAATATCTTATTGATGGGATTAGCTGGCTGTCTTACTGCAGGATTTCCCAGGCCGCACAAAAAAAAGTGGGTAGATGTAGGGTTTTCGTTAGCTTTTTCTTGGGAGCATTTTCAATTAAGGTGAACTGAGATCACCATCATGTTTATAAGTATTTACGAGTTCATTCCTATAAGCAAAAGTTGATATATTTGCTTAAGGATGCTCCCCTTTAAGGCGCTTTCGACTATCTCTCGATCGTTGCCCTGTTTTTACAATGTCCCGGCCCCTCGATACTCTGGGCATTTAGCAGCCTTAATTGCAAGTTGTTTCTGTTTCGCTTTCAGCTGAGCTGGAAATATCCCAAGACGAGGACGAAGGACCTACCGAACCCGATCGAAATGAGGTCAGTGACTGGCGTTGCAGGCGCGCAAGAAACGAGATCGGGACGGGGAAAATGGAAAAGGACAAGCTGGCAGGACCCTTGGGCATTGTGCCAAGGCGTAACGGTTTTCGCCGTTTTTTGTAGCTGCCTTTGTTTTGTTTTTCACTTTATGTACATCTTCTTTTTTTTAGTTGAAGTCCTGGACGTGTCCGATGAATGGCAGGCCAAATTAAAGCAGGGCAAGTTTCGGTCAAGGATTATCAGAAGTTCGGCGAAGGATGACCAACGGTCGCTTCGCAATTTGGAATTTGGAGGAACAAAACAAAAATGGAGCACTGAAAATGCTTATAATTTGAAATGAAATTGCACAGAACTGAAATTAATAAGCGTATACGTAATAACTAGGCCAAGATAACTGCAAATAAGCACAGATTTCGACTAATTGTTCTCTCCTCAAATAAAGAGCTTCCATTGGTCCACACTTCTGAGATGACCCCTGTACAGCTTCCATAATGGAGTGCAAAAACTGACATTTTCTAACCCAAAAATGGCCCTTGACTTTGGTCAAACCTCTGCAACCCCCGAGGGAAATCGGCCCAACCCTTAGCATCCCTTAGTTTCGAGAGTTGAAAGATCAAAGAACATTCTCGGACATTTTTAATGAAATTGACATGGACCCCTCCTTGGGTCGAATGAGATCACAGATCAGCAGCAGAAAATTCAATTAGTTTTTGGGCTGGAAAGTTCAAGATTTTCGTGTGCCCATTGGACATTGGTCAGCAGATCAAAAGGGGAAAGGGTAAACGCATCTAGCGTAACGAAACAGGATGTTGTCCAGGAAAAATAAGAAGGTGAAAAAAGGGTTAAGTCGCCAAACTGGTTTCTGCTCATCAACCGTTGTTGATTTATGGGTTCACCACCCCATTCCTCGCACACCCCTTACCATTTTTGGTTTCCACATTCCTGCTAAAGGTGACAGATCAGATCCCCGGGGCGTAAGTAGAGCAGCATCCCAAAACGGGATGACGATGATGATGATCTTTCCCTTGGCCACTCATCTGCGTGTTAAAATCCCTAACCTCACCCTGCTTCGATCAATTGTCTTTGGAAAGATATAGACGATCTGCGATCAGCTGCCTGACCAATTAGTCAAATGTGCTGTCCCCTCATCCTTTCATTTGCGTTGAAACTTTCTCAGGGCGCCTCCTCGGAGATTTCTTTGGGAAAGTACTTGGCTGCTCGGTGATCTGAACGAAATGTCCGTAATATGTATTTCAACACACCAGCAGCAGAGTTCAGGTGAAACAAGTTTCGGTTTTTCACAATTTCAGCATCATTTGGCGGCTCGTTCTCAGCACCTTTTGACCCCGAGACGAGTGTCGTTTTAACTGCGCCCAAGAAACGAGAAAACACAAAATGAGAGAAACAAAAAAAAGTCCAAGTGACTAAGAAACACCAGCAGCAAACAACTCGTAATATGTTTTATTGCCATAAAAGATATGGTGCTGCGACTTAGATGAAAGCTGACCGAACTGGATAAGTGGTCAGCAGTTTCCGTTAGCCCTCTGCCTCCATCTTTCCCCACCAATTTCATTTTACTTCGCTGACCAGGGTGGCCCAGGTGTACCAACAAAAAGCGAGAAACACCACTCACTTAATTGCTCATATCTGTCACAACGCCACGTTCGAGATCTCCTCTGCATGTCATGTTGTATTTGCTAGGGCCAAAATGCGACCTGGGAATCTACAAGAGTCTACTTCACTGGAATCTTCCAGAAAAAGAATGGTACAATACACAAATAGTCAGCATATTAGCCAATTTAGCCCTAGTTTATTGGCTTTATATTCGAGCTAACAACGGTCATTAATTGGGGGACATTTTAATAGAAAAGAAAAGAATCTCCTTTTGGTGTATTTATTTTGCGCACGCAAACATTAATTTTTAAAATAAATCTTTACAATGGTGCTTTTGATGCCAATTGTTGTCAAATTTGTATTCAAAGAGTTGTGTCTGGGGATAATAATATGATTGGGTTGAAACTGAAATGGGGTTAAGTGGCTCTTGTAAACTGGCAATTTTGAAAGACTGCGTAATGGGAAAAACATTTAAAAAAATTGTGATTTTAGGCATACTCCTTGTTGGGCCTAACACTATTTTTCTCGCGATCGTAGACGCCTAAAAAGGTGTTGCAGTGGCAGCAGTATAGGTACTCTCTATTATCCGAGGACATCAGACAAGGCAGAAAGCAAAAGGACCACGAGCACCATCCGGAATTCAAATCCGATGCGCATTTGATTACTGGACGCTTCTTATATCCGCAACAGGGACAGAAAAGACTGCCGTCCACGGCACACCATCGCCTAACGGAGGATTTATAGGCCATCTTTCGAAAGGCCTCCATGTTGTTGTGCGGACACGGTAATGATGGCTTATTGGTTTTGGGTTTTGGACATGTGTTCTTGTCCTTAGAGCTTGGACATTGGTCCACATTGCACTTGGCAGTCGATGTTTTTTTGGCCAGGCTATCGCGAGAGACCCTCCTTTTGTTCTTACCTGCGCATCATATATGTACATTAGGTAGGAGATATAATCTTGTCGCATAATCATCTTACATTGATCCGAATCTGCTGCGTTAAGTTCGGTTTGCGATAGACTCGATAGGTTTCTGATATGCGACAGGCTTTCGCCGCTGCTCCGATCCGAGGTGAGTTTGTAAATATTTCTGATCCTGGAACTGGCCACCGCAAATAAATCCGGATGCTCCTCTTCGATGTGATGCAATAGAGCACCGGTATCGAAACGGGAACATCGGATCACTTTCATGCAGTGCAGGCAACGAAGGCACTGCTCTTTGTCTTTCTGAACGTTTCGTTTTGACATCCTGATTGTGGCTTGAAGATCGACTCGTATCACACGACTCAGTAAAAGTGTTTGTCGCGAAGACAGACTGGGAAAAAAAGGTGTGGCAACCGGTTGTCTTTGTTTTGAAATCATTAATTCGCAGCCTGCTAGGCAATATACCGAACAAGGTTTCAATTAGAATGAAATATGTATCAGAAATTATAAAATGGGCAAAGTTGCCAAATGCAACGAGCAAACAACCGCATCTAGTGGTGCATCATGCAATCTTCCTCTTCAATTTCCATTTTCCATTTGCCGCAGTCATAAAACAAACAAAATACAAAAGAGAAAAAAATAAAACGGCGCAGAAACCTCGGCGAAATCATAATAAATATCTCGCGTAAATGCAACAAATTTGAGGCGCATGCGCAACCAGCAACCGGCTGCTGCTGCCGTGTAATTAACAAAAACAACAGAGAAGCCCACCACCACCCAACGCCACCCACCGCCACCCACTGTACCACCTGCACCACCGCCCCCCGCCCACTTTGCCACCTTCGAAATGAGCTAACGTCGTTTTTTCGTTTTTTTTTTAAACTGACGGCACGCGCTGCGCTGCGATGCAATTTTTGGTATCTGCAAGATACATTCGCCGCTTTTATGATTTACGCTCGCCTCACTTTATATAATCGGATGGATCGCCGGATCGGGCCTGCACACAATCCACTGAAAAAGAAGCATTTCATAATTGAAAATGTTGCAACTATTTGGTAGCAGTAGCTCCACCATCCATCCAATCCATCTGTTTGGTCGGCTGACTCTTGGCTGCGTTGCATGTTTGATTTCTGCTAATGCAATGCGGCATCTTGTTGCTGTTGTAATTAACAGCAGAGTTTTTTTTGTATATCTTTGGGTCTTTTTAAAGGCCTCAAAGGCATCCAAACATCCAAGCTCCGTTCAGGAGGAAGTGGCCGCATATCAATTGCCTGGAAATGCGATCAAATCACTGCCGGGTTTTGTTCGAAGCAACCCGCAAATACTTTTTACCTAAAAGCGCCCATCAACACAGTCGATTACGCTGTGATATCAAGATGGGTACCTGATTACCTGATTAAAAAAACCTTGCATTTTTCAAGGTAAAATATACGAGTATAAGCTTGGGGAACATCTTTTTTCTATTTAAATGTATTTACTCTTTCATTTCCTAAAGTTCGCATATATCATCCGGAGCCCCGAATTCCCAATGGCCCTTCATTAGTCACATTTAAATTTGGAAATCGCTCCGAGATCAGCTGACAAGGCCAAAAGCTGAGCGCTTGGGTCTCAAGTTCTGGAGCACAAAGAAGTAGAAGCTCTTTTCGCGCGGCGCCTTTCGTGATGGTTAGTTCCCAAAGGTATTCGCTTACCATGTCCGTGATGCGCTATCGCATGTCTAGTATCACTTTCGATGGCCTTATCAACGCTATCACTTCTAGAAGAGGGACTCGAAGGGGCCACTTTGCGCACGCGCAGTGCATCACGTTTAGTAGCCAACACCCAAGAAACTCGCACGAATGGATGGATGGCTTAATGGACGGATGGCTCGCTGGGTGGATTGTTCATACAGGACCAGCAACTCGGGTTTCGCAAATATGATCGCAGACTGGCTCCAGACGGTCGCGTTGCCCGAGGGCAGCCCTTACGTAAGGAGGCTGCAGCACTCCACCTTGAAAAGTGCTCACTCAGCTAATTTGGTCTTTTTTGTATCCAGAATTAAATAACACCACATGACATGATACTTCACGTACAAGTATTATTAGTTTATGGATCTCTATATAAACAAAAATATAAATTCTGTAACGCTTGATTACTATATATCCGTATGAAGAGGGTATATAGTTGGTCACGTGGCGGGATTTACCGTAATCTAACATCATCAACGTAATAATCTCCCACCTCCATGGAGATCGATAAACGATTGGCAATGTGTGTCGTCCGTCGATTTCCTGCTTTTACACATTAACAGTCGTCCGGTGTCCGTAACCCCATCTTTATCGATTGCTAAGGCAATACAAACAACAACTACTCAGCTCCCCAAAGAGTTCTTCTCTTCATTTGCAAGTGTGTGCTGTGGGTGTGCATGTCCGTGCGATGGTTTTCTTCAGTTATGTGAGTGTCAGGGAGTATTTTCGACGGTCACGTCCCCTACATAAATATCCATAAAAAGTAATGCTCACATCCGTCCGGATGAAATGCGTTCGTGTTTGGCGCGAGATTAATACTACACATAGGAAAAATATAAACAAAATAGTCCAATATTTCGTACGAACAAACTCCGCAAATGTTCAAATCAGTTTTTATTTTCAGTGGAGATATCTCTTAGAAGACTATTATCAAAGAAATGTATTATTTTATTCATTATTTACCGGCTAGCTCGCCTACTTTTTTCTCACTGTGACATAGTCTTAAAATCTTGCAACACTTTCGTTCATTCTCAAGCCTTCAAGCCTGCTCTATCGTAAATCATAAGCGATAAGATAACACTCATAAAAATAAGTCAAAACCGTCACACGATCAGAGCGAAATCAAACAAAGATATAGACACTGGCATACCTGAGATGTTCGCATCCCATCCATCCCATATTCGATGGAGTTATCGGGCCAACAGGCAGGTGTTCAACACATCGGTGCAAACAAACGGGTACATGTCCCTCATAAGCTATATATATGTATATGTATATATACATTTATATCTATATATCCATCCCATCCAGAGGGTCCAGGGAAAATACACACGGGTATTCGAATGGCAGAGAGTTTTGATTTGTTGCCTCATTGGTTTTGGTTTTTCGGGTTTGTTTGGGCTTATTGCGGTTCAGTTGATTCAATATTTACCCTGCTTATCGAGCACCCACTATCCAAAACCCGCGGCCCAGAATCGGGATTCGGTTCCAGATTCACGGCGAGTCGATAGGGAGAAAATGGGTCAGAGGGGAGACGATCGGGGGATCAAAATTGGAGATCAGAAAACCACTTTATGTCATTCTTTACAGGAAACATAAGTTCAAGTGTGAAAAAGCCTCTGGGCTTTACAAATATCAAACTATAATCTAAGGTCTTAGTCATATTTGATTTAAAAATTATCAATCTGAAATGCCTATAAACAACATTTAAAAACTCTCCCTGATATCCACAAAGGTATGAGGCACTACTGCAATTAACAGATCTCGTTATTGACAAAATCCCTGGACATTTTCGGTGAAGGCTCATGTCAGCAACCTCCAATCGAGTCTCACTTCTAGCCCAGACCTTCCTCGTATAGCGTTGGATAGGTGGCTTCTGTCTAATTAACCGAATGCTTAGTATCGAATATCGAGTACCGTAAGGCAAGGTCGCCGGATTCTTCGCCACGTATGTATGTACCGCCTTGAACGCAATTTACCGGTGGCCATTCGAATATTCACAATCCAAGTCCACATCCGCCCACCAGCTGCTGCTGCTTCTGCCTCCGCTGCCATCTTGGCCAAATCATCGATGGCACCTTGGTGTTTGGCCAACAAACCAACCAACCGACCAACCAACCAAGTCAACACCCATCGCACCAACACCCAGTCAAGGCCACACATGTCGTGCTGAGCGGACCCACATCCTCCCGGCTAATTAATATAAGTTCTTCACTTGTGCAAATAATTCAATTAGCTACGATAATTGGCAGCTCGGCCGCATGAAACAAGTCGATAGGCTAATACACTACAATATATATTTCTGCAAGGATACGGTAACAATCCATAAAGTTAAAAAAAAAACCGTATTTATATGAAGGAAATTAAATAATTTTGTCAGTTTCTTTAGAAAAATATAAACTACAAGACAACTTTTTATAGCGAACATAGCCGATCGATAGACCCGTCAAGGTGCTGGAATCAATGTTGCAGTTATTAGAGTGCAAAAGTAAAACGGAGTCATTGCTAAAGCGCCAAAAGACAAATCAATTAAGCGCGACACCCGAGTAATCCAAGCGGTCGAGTATCTACATATCCAGCTAACCATATATATAGAAATACCTATATATCCAGTGGGGCCAACAAACCCATTTAACCCACAAGTGGCCAATGTCTTGTGTTGCGTCCGTTTAATTATGGAAAATGATCATGACAGAGAGCATTTCCTGTCCCTGTCTGGGTTTGAGTTTGCGTTTGGCTTTGCTTTTGCGTCATGTGGTTGAAGTGTCTTTCTCTTTTCCATTTTCAAAGTCCAGACCCCAGACTTGAGACCTCGTACCTGACCGCCTCCCAAAGACCCCAAACCCCTCCTCCTTTCATTCTCTTTGATAATTTCTCCGCACTTTGGCGGCGACTTCGGACATCGCACATCGCACATCGCACAGTCCGCAGACCAATCCAATACAATACAATCCGATCCGGCTTTTATGAGCACATGGGCTTCCATGGGCCCAAATAGTTGGGCCTCCGGGCTGCATCGATCTGCTCCCAGAATTTTAAGTACTTGCCGATCTGGCCGGCTGCCCAAAGAGATCCCAGTTTTCTTGATTCCCTGGGTTTCTTGAACCTAACTGTTGCTCGAAAACTGAACGATTGATCGATCCCTCGCCGCATCGCTTGTTTTTCCAACCGTGGTTATAAGGATTTCCATAGACATCACCAGATCCTCTAAGCAACACACGTGATCGCACTGCTGATCGTCGTATCAATTGTCCCCAAAGAGTAATCTGTACTTGAGATTTGATATTTCTATTGTCGAAGTTAATAGGAGGTTCATAAAAGTGCGCGCTGTTTCATTTAAGAGATGTTTAATTTATTATAAATCTGATATTAAAAAAAAATACTACATATATACTATCTTCGGAATAGTTTCTAGAGACCATAAAATCTTATAAAGACAAACGATTCTTTCCCAATCTTTTTATGAACCTGCTGCAGCCTTCAATGGACTTGCAGTGCATTCCTAGAGTTTATTATCCTGCGCCTTCGATTATGATCAATGCCATGGGCTTTACGACCAGCAACTTGGATCGTTAACTGCGGGTCCATTAAACCGAGGAAGGTAGCTAAAAGAACGTGTCAGACATAAAACCTGGCCACAGGAGGCTCTCCGAGCCGAGCATCATTCATCCGGAGACGGAGAGACTGGAAATGCGAATAAGAATGGGAATTTCCTCCGCTGAAGTTGAACTCTTGTCGATGTATCCGTTGCTGGAATACTAATACCTCACACCGAGAAAAAGCATAGGCATTGCTATGTACATATTCTATATACATATAAATATTTCAAACCTTTTCTGCCAGTCTGATGTAGCTATCCCAGATTTTTTGCTGTGCAGTTGAAGAGCCAGCTCCTACAGAAGAAGAGCTGCCATTAAATTGGTACTTGATGGGGATGCGATGTGGTCGTTCATGCTGATGTGGCTGTGCTCCATGGCAATGGATTTGGATTTGGATGGAATGTATGCTCCATCTGCAGCTCCAGCTTTTCGTCACTCCGTCCGTTTGCCATTTTTGAGGTCGACGTGTCTCTCGCACATTTAATGTCCGATGCCGCATTGTGCGATGCATACTAATTTGGGAGGGGCTGTTGTGGATGATCTGGGCATCTGAATCCGAATCCGAATCCGATGATCATGATGTAAGTAAGTAAGACGACAGAGCAGTCAGATGATGATGTGGCTGCCAGTATATCCAGTATATCCAGTATCTCTATCTCTGTATCTGAAAGAGTATCTGAGTATCCGCCCACGCAGTAGCGCGTCGTTCCTCCGTGGGAATCGTTTAAAAGGCAACTACCACACGGCTACCAAAACAAATTTCGGTCGAAAACGTATTTTATGGGTAAAACGTGAGGATGCCTCAAGAGGGGATGTGGATGTCACTTCTGCTGGCTGGACTGTTTCGCTGGGCTTATTTATATGCCAGTCGGATCATCATCAATGGCCCTCGCAGTGCGCACACTCTCCGCTCGGACTTGCTAACTCCGAAAAGTCGGTGTTGATCTCTGCACTTGGAAAAGTCCCTATTTTGATATACGCTATTTGTTCAAAACGTAAAATTACTTATACATTTCATGGTACTTTTTTATTAGTAGTGTGATATTTCTATTTAATAGTGCTTGATCTTATGACTTATTCGTGCTATTAAAAATATGGTATACAGCGGCATTTTTTTTTTTTTTTTGCAGTGCATGCATTCACAATTGCCCACTGGTGACATAATCCACTGGCAGCAGCCAACACATTTTCTGTCACTGGAGACGCACTTGAACCTCCAGCAACAACAACATCCTGAAAGAGGTCAAGTGATTGGCCATCTCATTGTGTTTTCTCATCAGGTGCGCTGAGAGGGCCTAAAGTCCAAAAACTCCGAGTGCAAAGTGGTTGGGCCCAAAGAAATATGATACGCAACATTGTGTATGCATGATCGTGTCCGTCGCATCCACAAATCCACATCACTCTTCGATACGATGATACGATGATCATCCATCCATCCCATCCATCCCGTTCATCCCACATCCCTGTATCCCTGTGTCCCACATCCCCCAGTGGGAAAGTGATCGGTTACAGTCCGCATCCCGTTTATTTGGCATCCTGAGGAAGTCAGGTGCCTAATTGTTTCCGCCATCATCTCCAACCCCTGCTTATTGATTTCTTCCCTGTTCTGTGGCATTGTGTGGTAAATTTTTGTCACCTGATCTCACCTTATAAGCAGTGAGATTTAGTCTTTATCCTTTTCACTGTCTTCTTTCTTTTCTTTTCTTTTTTTTTTTTGTGCTAGCCTCTTGACATGAGAATCAGCGTCCATAGGGTTTCCCTATGGATTTTTTCGTATACCCCCTTAAAGTGTGGGATAATTGTCGGATTGCAGGATTCTGAGGAAACTTTGAGCTGCGTTTTGCGGGTCACTTAGTTGGAGTATCCAGTATTAAATGCTTTGTGAATTACTCGGAATTTATTGGTATTTATTGGGTTTACATAATTGAAATGGCTTCATAAGGAACTGTTGGAAAAGTCCACAACGATTCACTCTTTTTCGGTTAACAAATAATCTTCTTACAAAATCTTCAATAAACTGCGGCTATAGATGAAATTCAAGTGCTAAAAGCATTAACCGCAAGACCTTTCAGTCGTTCCTAGTTAAAATTCAAGCAAGTGCCCATATCAAGTGGAATGCACACGGCCAATGGGAGCAATGATGATATGTATCTTTGGGCAATTGGAGCACAACCGCCCACTGATAACTGAGTAACGAGAAGGGGTACACCTTCCAAAGTTTTACCATTGAGACGCACTGCATGCTAATTGAATGAAACGCAGAGCCCAGACGCATTTCCACCTAATGAACTCCCTCGAGTCGGGTTTCCAGCTATTTAGCATTTAATTAACTTAATAATCTCTGTGCCAATTGCGAGGAGACGGAGGACCAGCTGCACATCGTGGGAAATGGCTAGATTACATTTATTTTCAATTATTTTATCAGAGAAACGTTTTGCGGCTGCGGTTTTATTACATGACATATTTGTTTTCGTCTTTCTTTTTTTCTTTTTGTGTTTTGTTGTTTCGTTTCTGTGTTTTTGGTCTGCTCTTTTGTTTATCAACAAAGTTGCTGGGCTTTGAAGGGGAATCGGATTTGGGGGCTCTACGCTCCGCTTCTTGTCACATAATGTGGCGCAGCAATTAAACGAAACGGCCTTACCGTCCGACAAGAAAATTAAGCCAGTTCGCGCACTTTGCATACCAATTGTGCCGATCCCCATTTACTCGAGAAGATCGAGCTCGGGATTTAGGGCTTAAAAACGAGAGTGCACAATAAAAGTAATGAGACTACCGGATGATTAATTTGCTCCAAAAAAATTGTTTTCTTCTAAGAGTGGACAAACCCAGGGTTTATCAATATTGAAATTCAAATTTTTGATGGGTTCAAGAAAAGATACTCAAGGTCAAGTCACACGGAAAGGGACCACCCGAATCGAGAATCCCGGGGTCTGAAGCAAGTTCCTCGGATGTGAACTCGCCACTGGGGTAGGTCATAACATTTAATGATGCGCGGATTTGTCTCTTGATCATCTCGGTCATAAAAACAAGGGCGAGCGGCAAGGGGTAAGGTCAGCAGCCGGGTGGCCAAAAAACAAGAGGTACCAAACCCACAACAAGGTGTCGGCTGCTCTTTGGAGTTAAATGTAATAAGCGGAGACTGTTGTTATCGTCAGCAAATATTAAACATCTTGTGTGGAGCTTTAACGCCGTTTTACCCGGTATCTGTATCTTGTCCCGGTGTTTGTCTTTGTCGGCGTCTTGATGTTTTTATCTCTGCCCGATGCTCCACATACATCACACTGATGATCTTTACGATCACGATGCCAGAGGGGAAAACCCAAGGGAACTGAGGAGGCCGGAACTTGTCGCATGCCAAAACGATTACGTGTCACCAACTTCCTCTGAATAACTATTCACTGATACTGTTAACATTAATATATATGCAGATATGAATTATTACGAAAATTAACACAATAATAATGTTAAGGGATTAGACTGAAGGTGGTATATATAGATAATATACTCATATAGCTGTTTATTCCCCACCCCACACAATCGGCAAAGTAAACAACGACTCGAGCTCCAACGCCCGATCGCAATTCATGGACTACACACTCAGCCGGAGTCAAGTGGGTCAAAATCAGCATACAAATCCGCAACTGATGTCGCTGATTTGATCGCACTGGCGACGATTGGTATATGGTATCGATCGCATAGTATCGGGGATCCGATTGGATCACGCGATGGGATCAACTAAGTTGCCTGGAACTTATTGCAATTGTAATGCGTTGAATATTCATGAGAGAGCCAGCCTGCTCTTGGGGTTGAGATTCGTTCGGATTCGATTTTTAGCACGTGGAAGAAAACCAAGCAGTTGAACCACAGCAAGACCCATTTAAATTGTTAAACGGCGGAATCCATTGAACCAAGTCGATGTATACGATCTTCCTATAGATTAATGAGCTCTAGTTGTCTCGTATATTCTACATATTCTACGAAATTTAAGCAATCTGAACTTTGTTAATGGGTTCCGTCTAGTATGTTTCTGTACAATTTTTTGAAACTTCGTGGACCTATGCAAATGATAAGAAAAATAATTCTCCCCCTGCTCTAAGAAACTTCTAGCTACTTCCGCTCCTAATGGAAACATCAGCCACAACAAGGTAGCTATCGGAAATGGGTCTTGGGATGATGACTCTTCCTGGACAATCCATGCATAATTGGACTATCTTTGGCTAACCTTCTGGCGGAGATAACCACAGGAATTAGGAGCAAATAAATGTCACAACAGAGGAAAAATAACTGCCTGCAAGGAGGCACTCATTAGGCAATCGGAATTGCAGCAGTTCCACTTCAATTTCATTACTTCCACATCTTCGATTTCGGTTTGTCCATTTCCGTTTTGTCCGCCGTCAGTCAAGCCATTTGTGATAATTGAAATTTTGTTTCGATTTTCGTATCTGAAAACAACGTACAAAACACGACTGGACCCTTAAAAGGCGATCTATATAGCCTGCCTATTCTGCGTGGCGAAGAAATGCCAAGGCAGCACGAAAATTACGTATTCAATGGGCAATTAAAACGCGCCGGAGAAGATCGAGGAGATCTTTTGCCCCATCCCCTCGTCTTTTTGTTGACTGGCACGAAGATTGGATTGGATTGGATTGGGATTTCAAGAAGAAATCAAGCCAGCCAACTGTCAGTGCCGAGGCATGGCAAAGCATTTTAATATAGAAATTTTCTTGCGGCCATTATTTTAGGCCAACGGCCTACAACGGCCCGAAGTCGAGGCCCATGTCAGCAGCATACAGGGAAAAAAATATATAGAGTATTAACAGATTAAAAGCATATACGACCAACAACTCAAATACTTACATATGTACTTCTTTATGTCCTTAGCAATCAAATACAATCATATAAACAAAAAACATAAAATTAAACAAAAGTTAAACATTACATTTGAATAAAATAACTTTATGGGCTATTTGCAACAGGGGTGAGGCATAAAGGTTGAACTCTTTTTTCTAAGTGCCTGAGCAGAAGACTCAGAAGCAGAAGACGGAAAACAGAAGACTGAAGAGACACGGCCAACATCCAAAGCCATTGAACAGCCATCGAGGGGCTATCCATAGAAGGGCCTATAGGCATGAGGTACCCCCCATCTGCAACACCCAATACCCAATACCCATACCTGTACCCACTCCCCTTTCCCGATTTTGGTGGCTGGTTAAAAAGAAAGTCGCCTGCCCATTTGGCGTTGTATTGGCTTTAGCTTTAGCGTTGGCTTCCATTGAAGATTGGCGCAGCAGCACCGCCAGCAGCCGTTGTCGATGCAGTTGGCCATCGACAAAGACAAAAGGAAAACACTCCATGAATCTTTAATGAAGAATCACCAGTTACCAGTTACGAGCAGCCAGCTACCAGCTACCAAGTTACAAAAGTTACCAAACTACCATGTTGGGGACCATAAACGCGCCAACCGCCAATCGTCGCCATCATCGTCGTCGTACATTTTCTTTTATTGAGCAGTAAGATTTGGATTTCATTTGTTGCTGGACTTTAGTTTTTTATACCCTATGTTGATAGTTATAAGTTATAATTTTGCAAATTTCTGTAATCATCTTAAATTAAATTTGGTTCACCACAGTTTTAAATTAATTACCAAACGCTTTTCTGCTTATTATTTCTATTATACCCAGAGGTATCTAAAACTTCGATTCCCTTATAGCCACACATCGTTTCTGGTTTTGTGTTTGGATATAAATTTGTTTTTGGCGCGGTATTTGAAGCCTGAAAGTGGGAGAAGAGGAGGCAGCAGCCATGGCTGCTACATAGCTATATAGTC